ATGAATAATCGTTCGTGTGTTGTTTCTGAGTCATTGCGAAACCCATCTCTCTAAACTGTACATCCTCTTCTTTTTTTTTCTTCTTTTTTATATCGTATTTTTTCTTCTCCAAAACAAATTCAGAGAAAATAAAATTGAAAAAATTCAGAGTATAAAAATAACCAACAAGACTTTTTTTTTTTCTATTCCTCCGTTTATACAGTTTCTACTCTTTTAAAATTATTTATGAATTTTTTAAACTTCACGCATATCCTTTTTCTTTCTATCGTAAATAAATTCTGACACCAAATAGTTTCGTCTCGACTCAGAAACACCACACCCCCTTCTACTCTCCCGTCTACCAGAAATAAAGACATACTCGTTGTTTTTATTCCGCTTATAATTTCATTTCTCAAATTTTCGTGAGAAAACGAATTTATTTATCGTCAAATCCGAAATCTCGTTTTTTTTTTTTCGATACCTTCTGGTATAGGCCAGATAATTCTTGGGAATTAATTATGTTAGTGTCGGGATTTGGGTTGCGGAAAATTTACTCAATCACTGCGCGAGGAAGACTAGCATTTTGAATTCTCCTTGAATAATCTTTGCCACCATCACGTATGTTTCAACGAACTCTTCAAAATTCTCTCTCTCTATCGAATCACTTTTGGAAACCGTGCCCCCTTTGGTTTCACCGCCTGTCAGATCCCTTGCAATTTTGTGTGATATGGTAAGTAAGCTCTTTTTAAGGAAATTACCGTGTGGGGTTTGGTGTAACATCTACTCACCGGACTTTTTAATATCTCCCAGTTTCAGGAATCCTCACTCGCACCAACGGTCACATGACTGTCTAAATAGACCTGCGCCGCTGGGGCATTAACTTGTTCACGGCAAACATGAGGTACATTTACATTTACATTCGCATTCAATTTTCCAATTTTTTTCCCATCCTGTCTAGATGCGAGTGTACTTATTATTACGAACTTTGCTACTTTCCCATAGACGTCCTTTGAGCTCTTTCTCTCTATGATAACTACTCTTCATGGCGCTAGGATATCTTCCAAGTAAACTACGACCCGGGACTATCAATTTACCTTCAATTCCAATGTAGTTTGCGTGTAACTTTATTATGACAAAAAAAAGTCCCGTCTTCAGGTTTCCGACACACACTGAAACCTTTGTAAATAGACTTCCTTTTATTTTATTTTATTTCTTTTTTTCTTATTATCTCTTTTTTCTTTTTTTCTTTTCTTTTTTCTTTATACCTATTGGAACCAAATCTAATATCCTTCTTAAATATCATCTTTATACCATTATTTCCTATTATATACACTTCCATTATATTCTCTGTATTTTTATTTATTATCAAATTTTTTTCTATTAGAAAAAAAGAAAAAAAGCTTGAAAATATTAAAAATAAAAAAAAAATTCAAAAACTTTTACTTTTCAAAAAAAAAAAAAGTGCTTTTTTTTATTTTTGCTTTGTATCATGAACATGCAATGGAAAATTTGGATGTGCACGCACTAGCTACGTTTCTTGCTCGCTAGCTCGCATCCTTCAATACCTTTCGTGTACTTATTTGCCGACCACTGTGTGCCTGTGCGTGGGATATTTTCTTAATTGATTATCCGTGGCAAGTTTGTGCCCCAAGGCCACAAGACCTCCAAAAATAGCCGCACTGATGATCACCACAAAAGGAACTACTTCGGGTGGCATTTTACGTATCGTACGTTTAATGCGTTCGCCAAGAGGAAGTGGATCGTGAAGTGTGATCTTGGGTTTAATTTTCTTGTCGTCATTTATCTTTACTTGTTTCTCGTACGCCATTTCGAAAGAATGTGTGAAAGACAATACGGTCACCGCGACATCGTCTGTATAATTATATTCTAATATGTCACCATATCGATCACTGACATCAGTGGGACGTACGTAAGTATGCATATGAACAAAGTAATCTATTTCAGATTCACATTGATGTGCGTAATGATGACCATTGCTGGACCGTTAAAATTATACGTACAATATACTATACATACACCATGTAGTTAACTAAACGATTTATCAAATTAAAGTGACGATTTTATTATTATCATTATGAATTTGATCGATGAGTCATCTTTTGTTTTACGTTACCACAAGTCATACAAAGTGATAATATTTTATCTGTTATTGCACATTTATTTAAATTTACAATGAATGAGTACTCATTCAAACACCATATATTGTATACACCGTATATATCCATTTATTTTTTATCATTAGCATATTAATAATCACCTCCCCGCTCATCTGGAAAAACCGAGAACGCTCGTTCATTTATTTGTCATCATTTATCCGATGCACAAAAAAAAAATTAATTAATTAATCCCCAAATTTTTTTTTTTAGGTATCGTAATATAATTTTTAAAATACTAATTGACATTGGGGAAAAAATTCTTGTTTTTCAACGATAAATTATTTATTTATTTATTTATTTATTTATTTACGCATTTACGCATTTATTCAATTAATAATTAATGTGAAACTTTAAAATATATACTGTATACAGTATATATACGGTATATACTTTTATTCATTTGTTTGCATCTACTGCATAAATGGTTTTTCTCAATCGGAAAATATGCTATCTCTATCTATCGTCTATACACGGTGCTGGCAATAAAAAAACCGACAATTTTTTTTTTTTCATAAAGATCGAAACTTTAAACTTACTTATTGACAAATAAGTCAAATTTTTTAATCATGTGTAGAATAAAAATAAAAAATAATCATATTGATTATCAGATTCATAATGAATTTGATTTTTTTTTTTTAAAAGGTTGAAATTTTTTTGATTTTTTTAATTCAAAAATATAATTTATATATTTTTTTTATAAAGATATTTATTGAAACCAATAGTTTGTTTTTTTTTGTTAAATTGTAAAATTGAGATTTGAATAATTTAATTTTTCCAAATAAGTCATGTATTATTTTTATTAATATTTTTTAAAAATATTTTTATTATTTAAAATACCCAAAAAAAAAAAAAATCATTTGATTTTTTTTAAAGTAAATAAACATTATTACTTTATTATTTGTAAAGTATAAAATATATTTTATAAATAAAGAAAATAATAATATCTCTTAGATAATCAATTAATTAATAAGGTTAAGACTAATTATCTATTTTTTTTTTTTTTTTTTTTTTTTTTTTTTTTTTTTTTTTTTTTTTTTTTCATTCATTTTTTTTTTTTTTTTTTAGAAGCCCATCTTCGCTGACGTGTTTTGGATTGTTGTTGAAATGGCTCTGAGATATAATATGACAGATTGAGACAACCACTCACCAATACTCATAATCTGCGGTAGACTCAAGCCTGCTTTCATTGCTTCTGTTGCTCCTCTGATACATATACTGTGTCCTGAATACTTGCCTGTTAATCCTGCATGTCCTACCATTCTTTTCACAATGGCACTCACCGCGCCAGTTGTCATTTGTTTGCCACTCGTATTTAAAAATAAAGGATCCTGATCATTAAATTCCATTCTCAAACTTAAGTATGCCAAAATTAAACTTAATGGATAGTATTTCGACTCTGTTGACTCTATTGGTATGAACTTCCCTTTCGCAAATTGATCTGTTTTGGATCTGTTTATTCTTATCCAACAAATACTTTTTGCAAATTTTAGATCTGCTATTTGTAGATTACATAATTCTGATGGACGACACATGGTTCGAAGTCCCAGGGCAATTATTGCGCAATCTCTTCTCCAAAGTATCATTGATGTTCCAGTTGGTGGATTATCGACATAATGTTTTAAAGCGCTAATAGGTAATGGGTTTCGTGGCCAAGTTGCTTCACGTTCTAATGCCTCTGATTTTCTTAATTTCTTCGCAAGGTTTTGAACTTTTGCATCCACTGTAGGATCGGGTAGATTTCTTTCTTGGTGATATTTTTTGATTGCAATAAGAATCAATCTAAGTTTATTAGTTTCAAATAAAATATTGTTCCAAGTTAAAAACATTAGAACAGATTCTGGTTGTGCTGGTTGTGAAATTAGCCCATGTATTTTGCAAAATATATCGAAGCTTTTCCAATATAGATAAAGTCATTTTTCATAGGCTGATTTTGATGATAAAATTTTATAAGCTTTGCATAGTAAATTATTCAAAAATATATTTTTATTGCTTGAAATTTCCACTGGTGATTCTTCCAAGGTTCTGATATCAAATTTCCTTTGGGACTTGGCCGAAAGCTTATTTTTGCTGGTGGTAAATTTATTTTTTCCATTTTTTGCTTTATTAAATTTGGCCACCATGGTGCTGATGTCCATATCGATGCAATCAATAT